AGTTACAATAAATTAAGTTAATATATAATTATATATACAGTACCTAATTTATATATAATTAATATATAATTATATGTACAGTACCTAATTTATATATAATTTATATATAATACTAAACAGACGATAGCAAACTCAATTTAGCCGCTCCGTAGCGTGGCGCAGGGCGGAGGAAAGTAGTTCGGCTGCTCATCCACTATTGGTCCAGACTCTATCAATCTTGTCGCGAAATGAGTCGGCAAAGATGTTTTAGGAGATGCTTTATACGAATGTTGCTACAATTTTTTCGCTACCTTATAGGAATTGTCATTATAGGAACTCACGTTATAGGGGGGTCGACTGTATTTCAAATTACAACAAGCACACAAAAAGATGCATTTCATAAACATTAGAATTTCAAATATTTGAATAATAAAAATTTTAAATTAGTTTGTTGTCATAGCAACCACAATTGCATTACATTACACATAAATAAAGTATTGTTTCAATTATCTTTTCTATCTCAGGTCACAAACCCAACAACTTTAACTTAATTAATATAAAATATATCTTTATGTAAATAAAAACATGTTCTGTATTCTATTTTAGGAACGATACATACGTAAAACATAGGAACAAAAATTAGCTACTGCTAATACTTTGATAAAGTCATACAAGAACAATATACACATAAGTTACTTTATCCAAGCAGCTTTTTTAGTCAACAGTCATGTTTATTTTAAGTCAATCTTAAATTTTTATCTGTTTTTGTCATAAAGAAACTGATAGTATATTATTTAAACAAATGTTTCTGCATCAAATAACATTAGACAACTCCTCTCATTATGTCTTCCACTAAAATAGCATGTGGTTGTAATATAGTTTGTGACTACAGAATAATGCATACTAAAATAAAATTTTTATTGAAAAACTCCTTAATATATTTAGCTTTAATTTTTTACAAGTTAGAAGACTTGTGTAAGAAAAAACCAAAGCAAATGTAGTTACAAGAATGAACTCAAAGTAACAAAACTGGTGTTTCTGAAAGAAAAGGTCATTAAAAATATTAGTATGAAAATTTCCTTCCCTCCTTCAATATCAATTTATAAATGTTTTATTGTTGAATTAATAAGTTTCTGCATACAGTGTGTGCTGATGGCTTGCCACTCAGGCAGAATTATCTATTTTAGCTCACACATGGAGTTGTATTGCTTTCCATTTGCATATACAGCTTTTGTGAGTTCTTCCCTTGGGTTTTCTACAGGACTGCTAGGTGGCCAGTCAGTAATGTGAACATTTGCTAAAAACCAGTCAAAGGTTTGCTTTGCTCTGTGAATCAGAGCATTATCTTGCTGAAACATGAAATTTAGCTCTTAAATTTTTTCTGAAGATGGCAACAAGTGGTTGACAAGCACATTTTGATGGTTCTTGCATTCATGGAATTAATTTAAAATGTAACATCTGTTTTTCTGTGCCATCTGAAGCTTGGCCAGATTATCACAGTTGCCTCCACCTTACCATTTAGAAAACATTTTGCTTTTCTTTTTGAATATCATGCCAATAAAACTGCCAGCCATCTGGACTATCTAAAATAAATTTTTTTTTTATCACTGAATATTAACTTTTCCAGGCCATTATTACTTGTGCAAATTTCAGTCTCTTTTGAGTATTTGATGTAATTAATACAATAGAACCTCGATTATCCAGACTAATTGGGGATGAAGGTAGTTTGGATTAGGAAAAATTCAAATAATCAAAACAAATACTTAAATTTGTCTTTTAATGATAATACAACATGTTTTCTTTTCGATGACATATTGGTAATATTAAAAATAAGAAACAAATCAAAAAATCAAATTAAAAATCAAATATTTAAGAAACAAACATTCGTATTAAATTTGGACTACTACTGACAGAGCTTTTATCAAAGTACAGTGCTAACAGACTACCTATTGTTTAAAAGGTCCTCTGGTGGAACAAGAAGACGGATTTTATAAAATAAAAAGCAGTTGAAACTGCATTTTTATGAATAAAACTTTGACAAACTATTTATCGTTTTATGATGATTAAAATTTTTTTGTCGCGTTCACGGCTTTTAAGTAATGTGTAAACCTTCGAGGCACGAGGCCCTTCAGACTGTGAGGCATAGGCGGTGGCCCATGTCGCTCAGGCCTTACGCCGACCTTGGTAATAGAAATGATGTAATTTGAATATAAATTATTTATAAATACATATGTCAAGTTATATTTTTATTACGACATAAAATATATTTAAGAGTTTATGACCACTGTGCTGGGTGAGACGTTGTTGAAACAAAAAACTTTATGCATTCCATCATGTACATAAACAGTGTTGTAATTTGCCAAGTGCAAATCAGCAAATTTGTAAAATTTTTGTTTATTTTGAACAATCCAGATAATAGAGGTCTGGATAATCGAGGTTCTACTGTACTTGTAAAAATTTTCTTGCACATTATTATTATTATATATCTGATATTAAATATGTCTTGAATTACAAATAAGTTTCCAATCTAAACTGAAAAATGAACTATATTATTATTATTTTTTTCCAGAACAATATGATACTTTTGTTAAGTTCACATATGATCAAATTCAAAAAAGGTTTGAAAATGGTACACCTAGTTGTGAGTATCTGTTTTTTTTAATAAATTTTTTACAGTTTATATTTTATTAAATAATTCCTATATAAGAAATATAAATATATATATTTAGTAGCAAAGTTAGATGTACAGTACGTTATTGGTTCACAAGTTTGTATTGAAATTAAAGTATAAGACATAATAGTAATTGTAGATGTTAAGTTTGCTTGCTTATCATTACAACCTACCTTGTCAGCCACTCATTAACTTATTGCTTATACTTTACAATTTATTTATAATCTTTAAATAATGAGCAAATGGTAAAAATGAGCTAATAAATTTTGAGGGTAATAATGTCTGACAATAAATTTTTGTAAATAACTACTACTATTCATGATATCAAGTCACTGTATTGAAAATTTTAATCAATCAGATTCTACAGTGCAATTGAAAAGTTGTTTCACAGTGGGTAGAAAAAAGGAGCTTCTAGGAACTATTGGATGTCACCATTTGGCTGAGCCATGTGGGTGTGACCCACAGCAGACCAACCTTACAATTGCACTGTATATTGAATCTAAGGAAAGCATTGATCAGTATTGTACACTGGTCACTAAGTTGAAGGTATTGTATGAAATGAGAGATATGTTTCTGACTAGTAACACAAATTGAAATATTGTTGGTGATGCTGTGTACCACAGAGGAGAAACAGTATTTACAAAATAATTTACTGTGCAATTTTTTGGATATTCATATCTTGTTAATTGTAAAAGTTCAATGATTTAAAAGAATTTTATGTATGTATTAACATTATTGAGAAAGTTTAGTATAGATACAAGATTAAAATTTATGTTCCAAAATTTAAAAGCTATAAAAAATGGATGAATAGAAATGTTTTTGATTTTGTATTTCAATGGGTTCCAAAGTAATGGTTTATTCTCAGTTTTAAATCCAATACTAGGGAGTCTAAATCTTGTATATCAGGCACAGGTATCCCTTGATTAATGCAATTAATTAATCCCTCAATGCTATCATGTATATCAAAGTCGCATTAATCAAATACTGATAAGTTGGTACTTGACCAATCAATCACCACCTGCTGGTGGTGATTGTTTTTTGGTTAATAACAAATATTTTTATTTCATCATCCATGAGAAAAGTTTCCATGATAAAAGTGTGTAACTAATTTAAAAATAAATCTTAACCTACCTTTGTCATGCAAATTATACTCAGTTTGGTTTTTTTTTTCACTTGATGTATGAGGAACACAATCATCATGTTGTAACAAATCTTAGTATGCTCCAAGTTCACATTATTTGTTAATTTTTAGCAATTCTCTCCTGAAAATTTTCTTTGTATATGGCTTTTGGTCACCCTTTACGTTTTGTTTGGAATATTTTGAAGTAAAGATACAACACTTCAAAACCACATTTGACATGTCTGATGTTCAGGAGTATCATCCCCATACATTTTATGAATATTTTTTTTACTGTTTGTATAACTTTATACTTTATATCCTTTATGAAAGTTTAAAAAAACCATACATAATAAGCCTGATATGCATTTTATCCACAGACATTTCAATTTGATTTTATGAAAACGAAATTCAAACTACGGTTTTAAAATAATACAATATCCCATTGGCAGTAATGTGTTAAATTTCACAACTATATCATAGCTAAATTACATCCTCAGCAAGAAAATAGCAAATTCACCAACATCTTATTTACTAAGAAAAACATATCTGTGTTAAGTAAAGACAACTGTTAAAGCAGCATTAATTAAAATTTTTGCTATGTGTATAAAGGGATTGCCACAATTAATTTTGCATATTAACTATAACCACATTAAGTAAGGGATATCTGTATTGTGCAATTGGGTAGGAGCTTCACATTATATACTTTACATAAAAGGGGTTTAGCACAATGTAAGATTGTCGCTATAAAATATTAGTTTTCAGATTCTATATATTCTAACTGATAACTTATGCATTGTTTGTGCAATATATGTCTTCTTCATCTCTCTAATCAAATCAGTTCATTTTGCTAAACACTTCTGTGTTTAGCTAAATGTAATTGAAATAGGACAATGTCAACTTGTGTTTTATTATTATTATTTTATAATTGATTACATTTTTTAATGCATATTGCAAAAAGGAAAAGTAAACTGGTTGCACATGTAGTGTTGTTTACAAGGTTACAATAATTTATTGTTTTGTAATTTATCACACAAATCTTTTCAAATGTAAAGTTGTTGAAATATTTAATACAAACAATTCAAATAGTCTTGGGATAACATTATGCAAACATTTATGAATTATTAAATCTGTCAGTAATTATGATGCAATACTTTTAAGATAAGAATATTATGAGGTGTGTTTTTAAACTAAGGTCTGATTTGAAAACAAGAAAAAGGAAAGATAAAAATTTATTTTAGCCAAAAGACAATTTTTTTCCAGGACATGGTCAAGTGGGCACCAGACATCTGGGTGACAAAATAATAGGTCAATAATAGACAAATTGAAAATTTGTTATTGTTTCTTTATTAAAATCACCATTCTTTCCTATCAGTCCATTACATGGTAAATTTAAATACAGTAGTGTCGATTATCCGAAAGTCAATCATCCGAAACGTCAATTATCCGAAAGAATTCCAGTCGGCAAATTTAAATTTTTGCCAGTGCTGTGGCGCTGCAATCTTTGGCTATGTCTTGGGCTACTCAAATATTTTACGTTTTTGATACTAAATTAACTTCTGATATATTATTTTTTATTGTTTTTATACTTTTCAATATATTTATTTTGTACAAACAAAATAAAAAAATAATTCTTAATGATACAATAGTCTTCGTTAGGCTTAACATCGACGAAAATTCAGCACAAAGCAACACGCAACGGAGAAAAATTTCAACATCGGATACGTTAAACTATTTTTTTTGTACGTAATCGGTTATCCGAAATATCGGTTATTTGAACAACCCTAGTCCCCAATTGATTCGGATAATCAACGCTCTACTGTATATACAAGGCCACATAAATATTCTATTATATTTTCCCTATTGTAACTTTTCACAAAATTCTTCGGTTGGCTTCAACACCTCCTGCTGCTTTTTCATAATCAACATCATATGTTGTTTTGAATTTTTTTTGTTCATTTATAAACATCCATAAATTCGGATGATTTGTGATTTATATTTATAATTATGTTTTACCAATATTTACAAAAAAATTGCCAAATTGTATGCTTGCAAACTCTGCAAAACTTAAGTTTGTTACCCAATTGACTGTTGCCTACTTGAATACTATTCAGTTGACCATATCCCAGCTGTCACAAACCCATTTTTCCTACATAGTCATAATTGATTTGCATTTAATTTACTTTCCTGACTGTCAAGTACTGTACATCACTAAGGAAAAAAAGTATTGGAATCGTGTCAAATTTGACCCTCCCAGTTTTCCGCAAATCTCCACATTTTGAGACCACCTGAAACCAAAAAGAGTCAAAAACTCTGCAAAAAAAATTCATGTGTTGGCGTAAGACAGCGTTTCTCAAAGTGGGCGATAACGCCCCCTTGTGGGCGCTGGAGGCTGTCAGGGGGGCAGTAGAAGGTTCATAGAGAATTGGGGGGCGTTAAGGAAATATAGAGGGGCGACGGCAGACAAATTCTATATATAAAAATTCTACGGAATATATATAAAATGTTTACTTTTTATATATTTTTTATTTTTTATTGAAGATCACAACTTGAATATTTCTAACACATTGACTTTTATTTTAGCTCAGCGTTTCTCAAAGTAAGCAATAACGCCCCCTTCTGGCGCGATGAATAGATCTATGATAGAGGCAGGGTATTGAACGGTGACCAAAGGCAAAATTGGGGCTGATAAGAGGAAACATTGCGTTTAATGGTTTCCAGATGATGAGAACAATGTACAGTAAGGGCACAAAGTGTGAGATTCATAGAAAAGTTTTCCTAAGAATATTTTTAATCCTTTTCTCACACAAGAGAAAATGGGTTAGGGGGCGTTGGGTATAACTTTATGGAACAAAGGGGGCGGTGGATCGAAAAAGTTTGAGAATCACTGGCGTAAGATTTTAAAATAAAATCTCACAAAAGCCGGGAAAGTTATGCAACTCATTGTTAGAGTTGATATTGTCACTACTTTCCTTACTCCATTGTCATAGAAGTCAGTTGTTAATGTCTCAAGCCATTTGGTAATGCCATTTTTCAGTTTGTTCTCATTTTCAAAATGTTTTGGGATAGGCTCTTTCTTTAAATGCAAAAATGGGTTGTAATCATTTGACACAAGATCAGGACTAAGATGGGCAGTCAAAAATCAATACTTGACTTTGCAAATGTCACTGTTCAAATGTTGCAACAATATTGCTGGGAAATTTTTGATTGCCTGCCTTATAGCCCTGATTTCTTGCCAAGTGACTATTGCCTATTTTTTGCATTTAAAAGGCTTTCGTCATTGCAGTTTGGAAATAACAATAAATCAAAACATAGCATTACCAAATGGCTCAACATTGGTGATGGACTCTGACAGTGGAATAAATAATTCACAAAACTGTTGACAAAGTATCAAAAATGTGTTTTAATATGTATTTTATATTTATACAAAATTCTTAATTTTAAAATATAAAGTATCTGTGAGCATGCTAAATATTAGAATATTATTTTTTTTTCTTTACAGATTTGTCTTAAACTACATTGGATAATTCAGCAGTGGAGCACTAGAGTGTTGAGAATTCAGTTGTATAACTTTTTAAATTCAGAAAACATGAACAATGTGGAAATAAGAATAAAAAAAAATAATAATAATAATAAACTTTTTTGTTGACCTTACTGCATTACAAGTGCGAACATTAACAGGTGTTTTCTGTTTTTGCAAGGGACATGTGAATGTGCAATGTTGCCTCCTATAATATGCCTTGGTAACTTTGTCATTCAGACTACCCGCTGAAGGCAGTTTAAAGATGTGTCGTCGACGAACTCTGTGCTAACACTTTGAATAACAGTATGTATATGGATCACGTATGGAAGCTAGCTGTTGATAATACAGCAGATAAACACAGCATTGTATATTTTATTTCTTCTTAAGATAATTTAGTAAGTGTTTTTCATAGGGGAGAAAAAAATCTATATCGTTCTCAAGCCAGATTTGGCTCGCACATAATTGCATCCCGTGTAGATTTAATTATCGAATATGTAGTTGCAACATATGAAATCAAATTTCTGTTCGCCAGAGTAGTTTGAAACGGCTTCCATTTCGGCAGAATCAGGGCTTCACTTGTCGCTCCAAGTGTTAGAATACTACTATCATTTTTTTTTAACTGTATTTACTCTTCCTCTTAATGCCCAACTAAAGGTAAATATATATTCTGTGATGTGCCATGATTTAAAATGTTTGGAAGTGTTTTTTATCATTGTAAAATACTCTTCCATCATCAGTTTCCTTAATTTAGTTTTTGTCCGTTCAGATTGTGTTTCCTTTTGTTTTTTATGTACATCAAAATTTGATAAACATGTAGCACAGAAACACAGAATTAGTTTCATTTTTGTAATTTTTAAGTTGTATAAGAAAATTTCAGCGAGGACAAAGGATAAGTTTTTGAATACTTACAAAATTTCTGTGGCAGCACCTGTGTTTTTATGTCTTTGTAAAGATTCAAAACAATAAAAAAGAAACAACTCCCACGGAAGAGTAAATTTTATATTTTGATTAAAATATAATATATGAGGGGATTATTGTAGAAGTTAATGCGCCCAACTTGAGATTTGTGATAATTTGTTGAGAGATGTAATAAGTACTTACGTTAATACAGTGTAGAAAACTACTTGAGTTTTGGAATTTCAGTAACGCTTATAAAGCTTGTTTGAGAGGCTGAAATTTCATGTTATCGGTACATTTTTTCATTATAAAAATTTTGTTCTTAGTAAAATAACTGACAAACTAGTCAGAAGAGGTTTTTCAAATGCTGAAATTCGGTTCTCGAGAGTTCCGAATTTGACATTTAATATAAAGGGCATTTATCGATTTGGAAAAATTTGTTAACGACCCAAGTGACGAACTAATCTTTTTTATTTTGAAAATTGTTTATAAAAAAGGAAACATAGATTTTACAGTACAATAGAAGAAATATATACTATTTGCTGATATTTTTTTAAAAAATTGTAATGTATCTATCTAAAAATTGTATGTAAAATGTGTTATACCGAGGAAAACGAAATGGATCGATAGCCTCGAAGGCCAATTTTATTGCATTATTCATCTCTGGGAAATTGTCCGTGGGTTAACTGGAGAAATGGTAACGACTATAAAATACACCTGTAGTAGATTGGAATTTCCAAAAAATGCAATCTTTTGTTGGAATGGAAAATATATAACAAATGTAAGTAATTAAAAGGATCTGTGAGACAAAAATGGAGCAGTGGAAAAGAAAAAAATATTCAATAATTTTAATAATAATATCTAGGAATCTATTAAAAAAATAATAAATAATTTTTAGAGAATATATAAAGAAAGAAATTGCATTGTACAGTGAAGTTTTTGAAAATTCCGAACTGTGCTTGACCAGTTCGAAATCTGGAATTCTCTAGATATATGCTTCAGATGCTTTTGATGATTATTTTTTTTTCCTTTTATTTATGTATTAATTTGTGCCGTTTATTAAAAATGATAAATTAATAAAACATCTATACACTTTAATTGCTGATTTTTTTTACTGTTTTATCTCAATGCGGCTCCACACATTTGGTATTTGACAATGCTAAATAATTGCCCATTTTCCAAAGTGTTTGTCACATTGCATGCACATGTTACATGCACTTGGTTATTTGCAGTGTATTGGTCTTTTGTGGGAATTAAGAGTTTATCCAAGATTCATTCCCTTTGATCTGGTATGGTTATACCAACAAGAATGGGAAACGGTGAAGGCCAAATATTTGTTGAGCAAAATCACTAGTAAATCATTTGAATTACTCGGTATTGACCAAATGTTTGCTCGGCATTCTGCAAATATCGAATTTGTAGAACCGTCTTTGGATCGTTCACATGATTTGAGCTGGTTAAGGATGAGAAATTACCAATGTACACACCTAATTTTAAATTTTTGTAATAGTTACGATAATATCTGATTAAATTCTCATTTGAGCATGTGTACAACAAGAATTTTTGTATCTAACTGGCCTTCAATCTCCTTTAGAGTCAGTTTTCATATTCGCTTCCAACTGATCTAGAGGGATATAAATTTTGAGTGTATTGTCATCTTTTGGAGAATATCATGGAAGAAATTAATTTGACAGCAGTCGTATGCTTACTGAATAACAATTGAAAAGCCTGGTTAGTTTTACAGAAGCTTTTATAATTAAAATAGACATTTTCCATTTTGCAGACTTGCAAATTTAATGTTGCTACTAGCTTGATTGAGAACATAGTAACTAGGAAGATTAATGTATTCTCTTCCTGTTCCTTAACTTTTGTTCACTGAATAAAGAAAATTCTTACTTAAATGTTTAATTCTTATTCCATCAACTAGTTTTTGCATTTAGTTTTAAAGTTACAATATACATGGAAGATCTTGTAGTTTGCATGTATAATTTAGACAAGAATTAGATGCAGAAATGCCACAAAGTTTATTTGTTACTAAATATGTGGAAAGATATTCAGTGAATGATGGATTGGATGCAGTTCTAATGTGGAAGAATCTGTCTGAAGTCCAGAGTTAATGATTTGTTGTTGTGAAAGTGAAAATCTTTGCAATTCCTCAATATGACAGTTGATTTTAATTCATCTACTTGCACCTTCCAACTATTAGTACAGATGATGTCTGTAACAACATGGAGAAAAATTGAGATTTGTGCAGAAAAACTGAGGATAACAAATAACTTATTAGCTTGTATAGAGATTGTGATCATTCTGTACATATTGCAGGATTCAAAAAGGAATTTAAAAGCATATAGAATTTCAATCAGAAAATTTACTGAATTGGTAAGGTGTTAATTTTATAGTAATACACAATTTCACCTCAAATAGTTATTTGGTTCCAGAAACCACCCAAATTCAATTTCTTGCCAAACTTGAAGCAGTGGCTATGCCATCTGCTTCAAGTTTGATTGAAAAATGTCAATGGTGATTCTAGTTTTGAGCTCTGGTATAATAGAAAAGGTCATTAATGAAATCTCGAAAGAAAAAAGTTGCACTGTGTCAAATCTGGAGAATTAAGCCAACTAACCTGCAAAAAGTTTAGCGAAGAAATCAGTCATGCCATGGTTTTGTCAGAAGATCTAGTGTTTATTTCACCCTTGCCCACTTTGTAAGGTGTTAATGCCAGTTTTGAGCACTAAGAATCATCTTAGTGCTCAAAACTGGAATCATTACTGCGGCCAGAGTGGGTATCCTGTTTTGAGTCATAAATTGAATTTGGATGGGATGCTTATATTATATTGATGACACTCGAAGAAAAATGACCAAGTAAAACTATGCATATTGCTATAAATTAACACCTAATCAATTTTGCACGTCCTCTTGATTAAAGTTATGCTTTCAAAGTCGTAAATTCTTTTCAATCATCCTGTATAAAACAATAGATGCATGATGACAATATGACCTCAATTTAAATGAAGATTCACAAAGAAACTTTCCATTTATGATGAGAATTTACTTTAAATGACTGCTCTGTAGTTCAAACATTTAAATTCTGTATATGATTCGACTTAATCCTGCGAGCAAATAAATGACAGCGATGCTCCGAATTTTTAATTATTCTGCGAACAGATATTTGGAAGAACCACTTTTGTTTCGTTTATAAGTAGTTTACGTTTATGAAATCTTTATACAAGATAGTGAAAAACTGAAAAATTTTGAAATTCGAATTATCTCGAATCTGAATTACTCGATAAAATTGTAGGAATAGAACCCTGACTCATTGCAAAGATACGCTTTGCGTGCATTCGTAAAGTCTTTCGAGTCGTTCATAAAATGCAAGTTCTACTCGTGTATACTCGATGTTGACGTTTCAAACTATTGATATAAGGAAATACAGTAGTTCACATCATGAAGAAAATGGCGATATTCATGTTTGTAAATTACTCGCGTGTATAAATTGTGGATAAAAAAAATGAAATGATACGAATAAAGGCGCACGTTAAGCGGTGGCGCGAATTCCTATATGAAAAATGGCGATTGCCTGAGACTCCAAACCAATCTTATAGACATTACTTTAGTAAGAATATCGAAATTTAAATTCTGCACGACGTCGGGAAACTCACATTGTCGGTATGGCACAGGCGCAGAACATAATTAATTGCCTTTAACGGGCCCACTTACTCGTTGCCTTAACTTTCTGAGATTTTTGTGATGATCTAATTCGTTAGAAAGTCACACAATTCGTGTTGCCAATTTTTGTTGGTTTCCCCTTGGAGAAGTTTTCTCCGCGTGGATGAAACCACCGAATGCTGGTAGTTTGTTTTTAAATACTCTCCGCCCTGTGGGCACTAAGAGGGCCTCCTTTTGCAGGCCCATTATGGGTGCGGCCATGCCCACAATGGGGCTGCCGGGTAGTAAGGGACGGGGCCCAACATATCCGAACGGACCACCCCCCGAAAAATTCCTGGGGATTTTTCGACCCGTTCGGATTCGAATCCGGGTCCCCCAGAGCTGTAGGCTGCCACCTTGACCGCTCGGCCATCCGGCCGCAGAATGCTGGTAGTTGGTCGAGTCCTCGTGAAAGGAATGGTCGCGTGGAGTTTTCCGAAATGAATCACCTTGTAAGACATTTTGCAATTTTTCTTTAGTACAAAGCATTTCTAAAAATATTCAACTATCACTGTTTTGAATACGTTCTTGCCAGAGCCGTAACTAGGCAGGTGCAACAGGTGCATTCGCACAGGGCACACTTGGAAGGGGGGGCCCAAACTGCTGTTCACAAGAAATTATAGTTTTAAATCTTAAATTTTTCCTTCTTTTTATTGGCGATTACATTTTGCCTTATTTAGACCCTAGATGTCTGCTCACCAGTGTTCTCAACCGTGGCGACTTTTAGAGGGACGTAGTGAGATAGCGGAGACCACAGACAAATCAGCCAAAAGTAGCGACTTTTGAAATTTTGTTTATTTATTTTTTGAGACATTTAAATTTATGTTTATAGTTTTCAAATTTATAGATTTTTTCTCTACTTTATAGAGCTCTCTGGCAACGACTAATATTATTATGATATACAAAACTGTATTTCTAGATTTTTCTACAGTGTGCAGAGCTAGAAATCTGTAAAGGTAACATTTTGTAAGAAAAATAAATCTGCCCAGGAATTTTTTTAATTGCTAAATTGCTAAATAGAAGACGTGGTAACTCTCGAATAAAATGTTAGTCTCGAGGTTGTAAAAGGCGTGCAGAAATTCTGACATAACTTTTTGTTTTGTAGTGGTATGCATATGTGTTGTATACCTCAACGGCGGATTAAGCGGTAAGCAAACTATGCGCCCGAATAGGACCTCGAAGGGGCACCCGGTCTTTAAAATGCTACTGAAAAAAGGCTGATTTTTGCTTTTTCTATGGTTCTTCTTTACAATACATGAGTGTTGCTGATTTAAAAAAAATCAGCTGCATATCTCGCTATTAAATATAGCAAAGATTTAAAAAAAGTACGAATTCACAAGTGAAATTGAAAGTTTTAAGTTTGAAGTAATGACTCTTATACAAAATATAGAAACTGCATCTCCGCTTAATATTCTACAGGCTCTTCATGATTTTGGTTTGAGTCTTACCTAAATATCAATGTCGCTCTTCAAATATTTCTAACTCTTCCCGTTTCTATTGCTTTGTGCGAGAGAAGTTTTAGCAAGTTAAAATTAATAAAAAATTATTTATGATCAACTATCGGCAAGAACGATTGTCCAATATTTTTATTATTTCAATAGAATACATTATCATTAAAAATATTAATTATGATCATGTAATTAATGAATTTGCTGAAACGAAAGCCAGAAAAGTTCAATTAAAATAAATCTTATTAAAACTCTATTGTAATATATTTGTTTTATTATTTTCCCAAACGAAATAAATTAAGGGGCCTAAATGCAATTTCTTGCACAGGGCACAGGAATAGCTAGTTACGGCTCTGGTTCTTGCTAATAAAATTCTGTGGTAATTTGAATATAAAAGAAGAATCTTACGACATCTAACGACTTTATTCATTATACATTATTCAAAAGTACAGAATTTAATAATAAAGTTCAATATAATCGTATGATAAGCTTGCTAGAACACACAATATAATTTAGTTTCAGAAATCACTACAAAGAGAAAATATGGCGCTGTGATATATATATATATATATATATATTTCGTGTGTGTGTTTAAAATAATCATTATTTTATTAGCAATTAATTAACTGTACAGTTGTACGAGATAAAATTAAATTAAATAATATATATTGATTTATTAATACGTAATTGAATATAAAAAAGTTCAAAGGAAAAAAAATTTTGGCCAAGAGGTAACGTATAAAATTATTTTATATAAAATATTTAAATAAAAAATTAAGAATACGAACTTTAATATTCAAATATACTTTCTTTATTAGCAACAATATTTGAATAAAGTATTTTTATTGCGACTGGCAACATTTCAGTATTTTAAAGATTCCGAGAATAGATGTGATGATAATCTAATTATTATTATTTTTCTTTCTAAAAAGAAAATAACGAAAATATTTAATTTTTATCTTTAAATAATTAAAAATAATGGTAAGATATAATACTACCGCATAGGATTTTTTAAATCAGAATATTTTCATCCATAATTTTTTTTAAAGAAAGCAGACGATTTAAATTGTCAAATCTGGCAACACTGTTACATTTGTTGTCATATTAAAAGTCCAATCCAAATGAACGATGATAAGAATTTGTTAGATTTACCCAACGAATTGTTGATCGAAATTTTTTTGTATTGCTCCATCCGTGATCTGTGTAGACTGCCGCAAACGTCGAAAAGATTAAGAAATGTGGTGAAATCCAATTACTTATGGTAAGTATGACATTTTGAATCCTTCGTTGGAGTCCACTTCTGTTGCCATAGTAACAAGAATTTCATGATTTGGGTTCAGTATGCTAAATACATTTCGATAAATGACAGAGCTTTTCTCATATATAATGGTTCTATACATTACCTAAGACTGACAATAATGAATAACTGTTTACAATTACACCTTTTGAATGAGGTGGTTGAGACTGTATCAGAACTGTAGACCATACCCATAGAAACCATAATCATGTGTGACCCTTTCCCATTGGGAGCTGCGTTGCTCCACTGAGACTATCGCATTTAACTATTTGTTCCACTTGACTGTTTGTGAAGTACTTCGTGTTATGTAGTTTTAGGGGATGTGGGGTCTTGCCCGCACCTTCTAAAACATGCGGTTGCTGAGATACAAGTGATAGCAAGCACTGAAGTATGCGACTGCATGTGGAGCATTGGTTTCTGCAAGTGACCTCGACCGATGTAGAGTGTGGAGAATAGGCGTTGTACCAGTTTGTGGTAAAAACTGACTGTTGGAAGTGAATATCTTGCAAGGGTTGTATGAATGGGTACAGTTCCATTGAGTTTTTTGCTTTTACAGGGGGGTCTGTAATTCGGGTGATTCTCATTTGGAGTTCACATCTTACCTTAAATCACTTAAAAGAAACATGATATTTAGCATCCTTCCTTGCCTTGGTTCCTGTCATTCACTGGGCATGTTTTCTGGTATAATGGTTTTAATATAGCTTTATCAAAGCCATTTTACTGGGCAACGTGTCTGTTGATTGATCCTGGAATCACAAACAATCTGTGGATCTCACTGTACAATAATCTATTGCACATTCCCAAAAATTAAACACATTGTAATGCTGTAGGCCTGTACATTTTAAGCACTAAGTTCCTGGATAAGTTCCTGACGTGTGTATTAATGGTAATGTAATTGAAATAAAAACATACAACCCTTAAGAAAATATAAATGTAACTTAGATCAATTAGGAAACAACAAATAATAATAAATAACAAATATATATTATATATATTTTTTTTGATGTCATATTTTTACTTTTATTATACAAATGTATTCTTAGCAACTAGTATACTTGACTTATTTCTCTTTCTTAAATCTCATATCAAACTTTATAATTCTCTTTATTAACTGTTATTCATCTCTTCTTACATAACATGATGTAATCATCAAACTTTTCCTGATTTATAATGTTATATGATCAAACATTCCTACCTCAGCTGTTTGCATCTTCATAATCTGTCACTTCCTTCTATTCTACAACATTTTGATCTACACAAGATACGGGAAATCCTCATTAGTTTGAAATTCAAGGATAAAATAATCATGACTTTAAATTATCAGTTTCAAATTATCCAAGATTCACATCTTTCTGTACAATATGCCAAATGCCACGTAATTTATTAAGCAAATGGAATATGACTATGTATGCAGAACACTATTTTTGTTAATAATTAACAATAATAATATAAACAAACTGCAAGTAAACAGCAAAATGTTGTCTTGTCACATGTGTCCAGTGAGAACCTCACAGATTGCCAGATAAATTTCATAAAAAATTTCCTCTGAATGTAGCCCAAATTTATATATTTTATACACATTAGGAAATGTTGAAAGACAGTTGATTTCCACTCCCTGTTACAATTTATAATTTAAAAATAAAAAAAAAAAACAAATTATTTTAAAAGTTGCCCAAATGTAGTAGCCTAGTCCTATTAATATCTGCTACTTGCAGCCCAATTTCGCAATCCCAAAAATCAGCCATATTTTATGAGATAAGAGGAAAAAAAGGTTTGTCCATGGGTAAGGTGACACTCAAAAATGCATTATTGTAAAAGCAAAGCTATATTGACCTGATTTGAGTTGTTCTTGGTCTATTGTTCTCTTATGGCATGGAAGCACTTTAATGTAAATGAATAAGTTAACATACATGTATCACAGTTCAGACAGAATTTTCACTTTGAATTTTGAAGTAGCCATATTTCAAACTAACCTTATCGAATTCCTTAATTAATGTGTAAATCTCTATATCCCTGTCTGGGACAAATAGTACAGTTACAAACTAATGGGATTTCAAACTATCAGAGCTCAAATTAATCAGGATTTCCTGTAATTCAGTCCTGTCTCAACTAATTTTGATCTTCTGTTGACTGTTCTTAATTATTCGTATCTAAAATCCACAAAACACAATGCCTCTTTTCAAATAATTGCTTCCATCTGTGGTTTGCCAAGATATTTCAGTTTCTTTAGAGTTTATAATATGTATAAAGTATTTACACACGCGCGCACACACACACACACACACACACACACGTATATGTGTATATATATATGATCCCCTGAAACTGAGTTTTAAAGGCAATTTCACATAATTTGCAATGATGATTTGCAATTCAAAATAAACAGGGATTGTATATATAAAAAACAACAAACTTAATATACAGTAGACCCCTCTATAATACGGTAAATACGTTCGTTTTTATATGAATTTGTGTTTTACGATCACTTAAATACATGAGCCAATCACAGCCCAGAACGTGTGCAGTTTAGGGACTACGGCCATTTGAAAGATTTTCTTCCATAAAATTAATTGATTCTAGACTAATTTGACTCAACATTTCCAAAACACGTATAATTTTAATCCATATAAACTATGCTATAAACAAAAAATTGTAGGATTACTTACCGAGTGTGCGCCGTTCGACGACGCCATTGCTTAAGCTTGTTTTCGTCATGGAGCGGTGCATCGAATGGTGGATGCGTGTTTTCTGATAAGTTATTTTTCTGTGAAAAATTCACTGAACTTTGGAGACATCATTAATATAAATATAATTTTTATGGCTATTAAATAATAAATGGTTTTTAGTAGGTCCGCTGCTTGTTTAAACTCAATGGTTTGTGCAATATCTGCTATTGGTCTAGATTCGACCAATCCTGTTGCAACACAAGTCGGCGATGACGTTTTACTGTATTATACGAGTTTCTTTTAGTGTGTTTATACGAATACGATTGCAATATACGAATCCATATTATATAAACCTGTTTTATAGGGGGTCTACTGTACTTAAATTTAACCAAATGAACTGCTGATGATAATTAGCAGTTTGTTTGATAAATAGCAAATTGTATTTTTGAGGGAAAAGCAGCAATAGTTTGTTGCTACAGATATTGCTGCATGAAAATTTATCATATCTTGACACTTGCAAGGCAATATAATAGAATAAGTAACTGATATGGTGATCTGTTGATGAAATTTTTTAGACTATTTCTTAATGCTAACACTTTTAGTGTCACTATCATTATATTGAAGAAAGTCATAAGGAAGAAGACAGTAGTTTGTCTTGCTTAGTGTTGCTCAGAAAGTAACAATTTGCTGTTTATTATTCTTCATTTGAAGATAGTGAGATTAATTTCTCTCTTATTATGAATGAGGCTGTACTTGTCTGTTGCTATGATTATATCCAACCAGTTTTGATGTAAGAGAGAATGAATTAGACAAATTTTCATCACTTTATCACTGAAAATTGCAGTATTTTTTTGATAGTGAGTGTGATAAATTAATAGCAGTTATGGTAAATTTTTCTCATTCCTCTTGAAACATTGTCTATATAAAACTGCCTTAAAGGAACCTGAGAGATCTTGACAAACCATAGATTGAAGTGCTTCATAATTTATATTAATAATTATATCAGTGATTAAATAAATTTGAAACTTTAGATAAATATATCTTAACAAATTTTGTTGTTCTTAGTACTACTTACTGATTAAACTAACATTTATGTAGTATCCTTCATACAATTGCTATAATTTTACATTTTATATTCCAGGTATCAGAAATGGTTGGAATTGGTTAACGTGTCTGGCTTATCATTTGCAGACTACATAAAACAGCCGACAGAAAATGACAATTATCACTCTCGGTGTAAAAGACTATGGAACGTTTGTCAGGGTTTCAGAGAAGACTGTGAACTTCCAGTTTGTGAATATTGCAAATTTAAAACTTGTACAAAAGAATGTCTGGAAAAATATGAAAGAAAAATTTCTATAGACATCGGCAGCAAAGTGACTTGGTTTGTAACATCGACGTTTCTAATTCAGCGCCATCCATCAGTGATTATCGGTAGTATTTCAAAAAATCATTCGAAAGACTGCATTTATCGAAATGTGTGTAATAAAACTGAATTATCCTCGTTTCATAAGGAACGTCAATTTTGCCTTATTTGTAACCGATACAAAGATTTCAGAATTGGTGTGGATCAAGATGACGTAATTCCTTTTAATAATGACGATAAACCGTCTACTTCAAAAATTGTAAATGATAAGGAAATTAATCCTACTTCGTATAATATATCAACCGAATTTTCTTTATGGGCAGATTTACATCATTACTTTCAAAATAAGTTTCCTAATTGCAAATTATTTAGTCCATTAGATTCTCTTATTGGCAATGCAGACTTTAATATTTTAGAACATTATTTGTATCATATATTCGATTACTTTAAATCACTGGAAGAAATTCGAAAACCAAATGTATCTTTTATATTTTGTTTGCCATTTAATGCAGATTTTGATGTACAGAAGAATTTAATCAAATTTATATTTGAAACGATGCAAGCTTCAAGGTAAAAAAATACATAATTTATTATTTCTGTATTTAGGTGTACAATAAATTAAAGCTTAAAATTAAATATAATAATGAAGGCAGAAATAATTAACCACATTACTTTCAGATTTATACTTAAATTTAGTGTTTAAAGAAATAGTTTTGCAAGTTTTATGTAATAAATTTTTTCATTTTTTCAATTACTTAAGGCACATTTAATAGTGTGTTGGAAGAAAGGATGAAGGAATAGTCTCTATTAAAGTAAGCAAGTGCAGGAGGTGAGCTAAGATAGCTTACTTTATTGGACACACTGTCAACTACAAGGGTTTTCAAAATCCCAAGATATGAATATTTTGGTAGTTAACATTTCTGATAGATAAAATCTTGTCTTGTGAAAAAACAAAAATAAACTTAAGAAATCTAGAGTTAGTCAATGCCATGCAAAATTATTTACACAGAATTCTATTGTACAGCATACTTTATACATTTATAAAGTGAAAATTTTTCAAAATCTCAATCAAATTATGTCACTTCGGCTTAATTTAGCATTACCACAAATCACCGAGACTTGTTTATCTACTGAACAATAAGGTGGATCTTTACTAAATAATGATAATTTGGTAAAGAAGTAATAACTACAGTTTATCAGATGCTTTTAAAAATATAATTCTATGTATTCTTTATTAATATAACATTTTTCTTCTTACAGGATCTGCTTTGTAAATAAAGCCTTATGTATTGCATTGTTAATTGGAACCGAAACCTGTTTAGTGGTAGATAGTGGTGCATCCAACACCGTTGTCAGCGTAATTGTCAATAACAATGTTCTGTCTGAAAGAACACAGCACTGTCAAGTTGGCGGAACTTCGATTTCTAACTATCTCGCCCAAGTAATCAAATTAAAAGGTTTCTTAAATACTGTGAGTTTTATATAAATTTTAGTTTTGTAAAACTTTATTGTAAAATTTATAATAAGATTATTTATATTTATCACATTGTATCCTTATTAACAAAAATTCACAAAAATAGAAAAAGTGCTCCAAAATAAAACGTTTTTGTACTCTTTGGAAATGCAACAAAGTTACACAGTGTAATATATGAAACCGTTATAAAGTGCTTCACTGGTGATTGCATGATAAAAAAAATATAAAGTTAATAAAAAATCCAGGATGATAAATGTAATTAAAATGCATAAATAGAAGAAACCAAACTAAAGTAAAACTATATAAATCTACCATTATACTTTCTTATGATCACAAGAAGTACCCAGCAAAATGTGAAGACAGTTTTACTTTGGAGCATTTCTTCTGTTTTTGTGAATTTAATTCTAATAAGATTTTAGCATTTTCATTTATCACTGTTCCATAAATTATAAAGGTGTCTCTTCTCTTCAGTTTCTTTTTGGCATTAAAATATTGTTTCCTTGTTTTATATATATATATATATGTTCTGTGAATGACTGATATCTGGCGAATGTCAACATTCTCCGGTGAATGTCAGCATTCACACAGTCATTTCGTGTATGTACGAAATATTTGCTAAATATCATTATTTCTCACTTACACAGGCAAATGTTGACTTTCAGCATGCACTGATGGTGAATGTTGAATAAAAATATTTTTATTACGTTAAGACAAAAATGCAATTTTTTAATATGTCAAAATAGGAGACAGCTTAAGTAACAGCAATGTAAATAAATTGTTGAACCTAAAATGAACAGTACATTCTAAATCATTAAAGAAAATAATACAATAATAAACTTACACATAAATTATGTGATTAACATTTACAATCTTATTTATTGCAACAACTTGGACTGTTATGACACTTTAAATTGCACAAGAGTCCCTTGTTTTACAACTGCATTTATTTGTGGAACACTTCTTTTTTGCAATGACAGCGTGTATAGCCTTGCCCTCCACTTTTTGAATTAGCTGCAGCTGCTTCTCTCGGCGATATTTCTTGAGAAAAAAATCTCATCTAACGAAAGTAACTTTTCTTTAAAATTACGAACTGGTTACGGGTATAAAGCTGTTTGAGGGTACCATTTTTTTTTTGCTAATTTATAAAAGTCGGAATTTTCTATTCCAACAACAACTGCCAACACATTTCGGGTCTCTGTACAGACACGGTCGACACAGGGAATTGTATTCATACAGTATTACCAATTTGAGCAGAAGGAAATGGTGAAGAATTTGGCGACAGACTATCGCCTCTCTGTTGACATCAGCTTCTCGGGTGTCATTTCGATCTCCACCAAAGCTTATCTGTGCTTGTCGACATACACCGGCGATTGTTCGAATGTATAATAATACAACCAAATATTCGGTCTTTCACCGATGTATTTTGTATGTGTCGACACCAGAGAATATTGACATTCTCTAATTTTGGTCTTTCACAGTAACATATATAATCTCAATCTATAGATCTAGGTTCATAGTTTTATTTTTTATTTTTTATTTAGTAAGAATTTTTTCTTGTTAAGACTGAGATACTTGTTCTGCTTTCCATTAAAAATACTTTGAAAGATTATTTTTACAAAAGCTGGCAAAATAAATACAGCTGATTATTAGATTCTGATTAACAGCCAATTTTAATAATCAATAAAACTAAATTATCAATACTTTTTAAATAAAAAAAATAAAACTAAAAGTCTAAATTTGGAAACATTTAGTTTGAAAAATTTTTTAAATTGATTGTAAAACTAAAATCCAATAATAAATATAATCATATTTAAATACAGAATTACAAATTCAAAGTTTTAAATTTGGTATTAGTTAATAAAATTAAGAAATTATATTCAGTTAAGAAGAAAATATGTTAATATCAAATTACAAGACAATGCAAAACAGATTTTACAGCTTACATAATAATTTATTAATTAGAAAATGCAAATAAGAATATTTAAATTTAGAAATACAGTATTTATATAATTCTTAAACAGAAAGAGTATTCTAGAAATAAGCTTAGGAGAATTATTTAGAACTAGTAAGTCAAAGTCTTTAATGTGTTTTAATTTTAAAGTCATACTTGTATATCAAAATTATGTTTTACTATTAATTAAAATACAGTAATACAAATTATTACTTAATGTATTTATTACTTTAGGTGAATGCTGCAAGTCTAGACGATAAGAGAGTGAAAGCATCGTGTTTTCTTTCATATAACATTGCTGCAGAAGAGAAGAGGAAAGTGACAAAAAAACAGAATATATTTGTTCGATGCACAAGGTAATAAAATTTTATTACAGTGGTGCCTCATACTTCAAATTTTATTCATTCCAGAAGGCTATTAGAATTCCAAAGCAATTTTTTCCATTAATAATTTAAAGTAAAAATAATATGATTAAAAGCTCTAAATAATAAATTAACAAACTTTAATATAAGAAAGAATACAGCAAACTTTTTTGATCCATAACAAGATCTGCATAAAGTCTTAAATGTTCCAATTGAATGCAAGACTGAATATGATGTATTTCAAATATGTTCAAATATATAAAAATATAAATATTTTATAAATTAGTGTCTGGGTATTAATGATATTTGTAAAGTATTATACAATACTTTACAAATATTATTTAAAATTCAATAGAAATATTTGCACTCGCATAACATACATAAATGTAAAATAATGAGATGATCCCAACATATTGACCATATTAGAGACTTAAAAGCTCTTGAAATTTTCAAGGATGGAAAAAAACAGGATGTGCATTAATTTCAAAGATAAAAAGAAAATGTCTTGGCCACACGGTAATCTTTCTATGACAATCCTGATTTGACACACATGTACTGTCTTATTATTTTATAATATTTATGTATGTTATATGAATGCATATATTTTTATTGAATTTTAAGAACACAGCACTGTCAAGTTGGCGGAACTTCGATTTCTAACTATCTCGCCCAAGTAATCAAATTAAAAGGTTTCTTAAATACTGTGAGTTTTATATAAATTTTAGTTTTGTAAAACTTTATTGTAAAATTTATAATAAGATTATTTATATTTATCACATTGTATCCTTATTAACAAAAATTCACAAAAATAGAAAAAGTGCTCCAAAATAAAACGTTTTTGTACTCTTTGGAAATGCAACAAAGTTACACAGTGTAATATATGAAACCATTATAAAGTGCTTCACTGGTGATTGCATGATAAAAAAAATATAAAGTTAATAAAAAATCCAGGATGATAAATGTAATTAAAATGCATAAATAGAAGAAACCAAACTAAAGTAAAACTATATAAATCTACCATTATACTTTCTTATGATCACAAGAAGTACCCAGCAAAATGTGAAGACAGTTTTACTTTGGAGCATTTCTTCTGTTTTTGTGAATTTAATTCTAATAAGATTTTAGCATTTTCATTTATCACTGTTCCATAAATTATAAAGGTGTCTCTTCTCTTCAGTTTCTTTTTGGCATTAAAATATTGTTTCCTTGTTTTATATATATATATATATGTTCTGTGAATGACTGATATCTGGCGAATGTCAACATTCTCCGGTGAATGTCAGCATTCACACAGTCATTTCGTGTATGTACGAAATATTTGCTAAATATCATTATTTCTCACTTACACAGGCAAATGTTGACTTTCAGCATGCACTGATGGTGAATGTTGAATAAAAATATTTTTATTACGTTAAGACAAAAATGCAATTTTTTAATATGTCAAAATAGGNCGTTGCGTGTCGCTTCGCGTTGAATTTTCGTCGATGTTAATCCTAACGTAAACTTTTTAAAATAATAATCGTGACTATTGTATCGTTAAAAATTATTTCTTTATTTTGTACAAACAAAATAAATATATTGAAAAATATAAAAACAATAAAAAATTATACTTCAGAACTATCAGAAACGTAAAATATTTGAGTAGCCCAAGACATAGCCAAAGATTGCAGTGCCACAGCACTAGCGAAAATTTAAATTTGCCAACTGGAATTCTTTTGGATAACTGACGTTTCGGATAAACGACACTACTGTATTTGGAATATGTGAAATATGTTGTGTTCTGTTTTGCATTCCAATTTGGAACATCTGTAGAAGCTGATGCAGATCTTGTTTACAGATCAAAAATGTTTGTTGTATTCTTTCTTACATTAATGTTTGTTACTGGAGATATTTTAGGTTCTTTTCTATGTTTGTGTTGTAAAACTTTTACTCACTTAAAACTTGGATAGAGACTATAGAATACAGAAAATCTTGCAGTTTATTGTTGACAACTTCCTCTATCAATTTTTCTCATTCTTTTCTTCTTTATCGGATCTGGCAATTTTAAGTATAATCTGCACATTCGCAAGAAACTTCTCAAATAATTTTTAACAAGTCTTAACTTAGTAACCACACCAGTAAGGTTATTCTCAATCATCAGGAGTGTCAGAAATATTAGAGTAATACATACATTGGGAAAATTTATAGATGTGTAATAAATCAGTTGTAAATAAATAAATAAATAAATATATATTTACTTATTTAAATACGGATTGTCTTTGCATGTTCTAAAGAGTAAAAGTTAACCTAAGGCTGTGTACACATTAGGCGTTTTGCGTTGCATTAAACGTGCATTAGCAGCATACACACCGCGCGTTAGCTCGGCATTCGACGACTGTTTGGTGGAGTGTGAGCACTGGCTCGGTTTGGAAATGGGCGTGAAAGTAATTGCTTGTATGTGCCTCCTCCATCGTCGCTATAGAAGACGATGGCAGAGGCAAAGAGAATTTTAGGTGAACCCAATATTATGAGATAGACTGACACATGGAATGTTTGTGACGTTGTACCCAAAACTAAGACAATATGAACCCAAATTTTTAAATTCTTTTAGAATATCTATAAAATCATTTGACGATGGCTGGTCTTTTTTAGATTTCATCAATAAATAGATCAGTATCGAAATGATCATTCTCCATTTCAGCCAATGTATGTCCACTCTACCTGAACATGTGCAATCGAATGTACAACAACATGGCAGCACATATATCTCAAAGCGCGCGGCTGACACCCGCGAAACGCGCATTCTAACAAAAATCTATCAACGCGCGTTTGAGTATGTATACGTATGCAGAACTCTTGGTTTTTTAAAATGCACGTTTAAAAATGCCTAATGTGTACACAGCCTAACCATTTGGTTATTTCGAAATTGTTTTTTAAGTTAAAAATAAATAATCATTGTCGAAGCAATTTAGAAATTTCACTTCTTGCTATGAACATGATTTATTTTTTAATATGGATTTTTATACGTTTGATCATTCTAACTAATTAACTTTTCAATTAGAAATTTATTAAGAATATTTTTTATTTATATTTATATTATTATTAATTATAATTATGATATTTGCAATTGATGGTTTTACATTTATATCAACAGAAATTCTCAACTTCAAAAATTGGAAATGGGTTCAGAGCTGTACCTTGCACCAGAAATTATGTATGCAGAAATGAACCTGCCCAATATGATCAAACAGGCCATAAGTGGACTCGACGAGAATGTGGCAAAGGAAGCATTAAGTCATTTACTTTTGACTGGGAATAACACAGAATTAAATGGATTTGCAACAAGGTTAGACAATTTTCTATGTTTGTTTTCTATTTACAAGAGCCATTAAACCTACATTAAATAAATTCTTTGAAAATAACATACAAGAAAGACATCGGCCATACATGAAGTGTTTAGCTGGCAGAAAAGAGGGTAAGGAAAAGGAGAGGGAAAGAAGGAGGAAAAGGAGATACAGTAGAGAAAGGTAGGATCCCTCTGAACGGCATACATATGGTTACAGAACCCTCTATGTTTGATGTTGGCATGCAGTTTTTAGGCTGCAAGGTCGTAGTCCCCCGAAGAGTCTAAAAGAAAACCTGAGTGTAGCAAACACAATAATTGAGTGCCTCCACAAATAGCTAAGTGTAGAAGTTAGTGCCAAGTGGCTATTAGTAGGAAAACTTATATCTACTTAGTACTAAAAAAACTGAATGCAAACGCAAATCTCAATACTATTAACAGCTAGACAGACAGTGTGAAAACAAACAAACACGACTACAAACTAGATAAGACAAACAGATTGAGCAAAACCCCCAAATTTTTTTTTAAACGTTAACTTACTCACTAACTAAACTAACCTACCATAACCTAGGATAAACCTAACCAGACAACTAAAGCTAACAAACCTTAAGCTAATTTAACCTAACCTATCATAACCTAACTGGAAACCAAGCTAAGAGCTCCTAATCTAACTTACAACCAATGTTCCCTCTTGGCTGCGCACTGCTCAAATTGTTGCCGCGCACGAGAATTTGTGCATTGCGCAGGCGAGCTTCCACACTGATTTGAATTGTTGTTTATTTTTCACTCTGTCTGCAACATGATTATTGGTACGTATATTTCGATTAAATACCTTAAATCATTGACAAAAGATAATATTTCGTATGGAAGTATGTTTTAAAATGAATTTTAATCTCTACCTTAATATTAATTATTTTAATTTTTATAGCAAAGAATAAGATTTTATATTTAATAAATATATAAAAAAATACATTTTTACAAAGGTGAGAACCTTGCTTCTGTCAGTCTTTCTGCTGTTTCATTTCTACACCATCAGCGATCCTTAAGACAATTCACAAAAATTTTTTGGAGATGACCTTCCTTTTAAGGCTACTGCCTCCACAAAAAAATGTAAAATCAGGCAAATCATTCTCTGGTGTTCGTTGCCACTGCCACAATATCACATTTTAAATAAAAAAAATAGTAAAAAGACATGGCCGGCGTTAATTACATTTAATAAATATATAAAAAAATACGACATTTTCATAAAGGTGAGAACCTTGCTTCTGTCAGTCTTTCCACCGTTTCATTTCTTTCATGTCTGTTCGGCCATGTCTTTTTACTATTTTTTATTTAAAATGTGATATTGTGACAGTGGCAATGAACACCAGAGGACGCTTTGCCTGATTTTACATTTTTTTGCGGAGGCAGTAGCCTTAAAAGGAAGGTCGTCTCCAAAAAATTTTTGTGAATTGTCTTAAGGATCGCTGATGGTGTAGAAATGAAACGGCGGAAAGATTGAGAGAAGCAAAGTTTTCACCTTTGTGAAAATGTCGTATTTTTTTATATATTTATTAAATGTAATTAACGCCAGCCATGTCTTTTTACCATTTTTTATTTAAGATTTTATATATATGCTCAGAATCTGCTCAGCAAAAAGTTTTTTGCTCAGAGAAGTATATGTTCCGCTCAGCTACAAAAAAAATTGGAGGGAACATTGCTTACAACTAGGACTAACCGAATTTAGACTGAAAAAAGAAGACAGAAAATAAGAATTAAAATACAAAGTTGAAAGGCAGCTATATACCGACAGTTGAAACAAAGCTAATTGCCATTCATGTGCACGGAGTGAGAGCTCTCAAGAGTCCCACTAAGGGATATAAATGTGAGTAGATAATGGAACATTGTATGCATGTGGATGAGTTGGTGCAGGTTGCAAGGCCAGTTGCACTCTTCAAGAATAGCAGCTCACATTAAACTAACCCTAATATGATTGTACCTATTGCAGCAAAAAACTAAATGAAGTGGTGTTTGGTCCTCTGAATACCACAGTCGCATTGTAGATTGTCCTCAAGGTTAAATCTATGCAAGTATTACTTAAAGTTGCTGTGTCCTGTAAGTAGCTGAGTGAGGGTGAAACTAGGGTAAAAGTGGTGAAGAATTGCAGTAGCGTCAACCTTGGGGATGAAAGTATAGGTGAGCCTATCAGTGACGTCATGGTCCCAGCTGTCTTGCCAGAGAATGATTTGCTTCTTGACGTGATTGTTGATGTACGAGGTAGGAATTTAACTGAAAGTACTAGTGACTGAAGACTTTGCAGCTTGTTTGGCAAGATGGTCAGTGGTCTCGTTGCCGAGAACCTCTGTATGACCCAGGACCCATTGGAAATCTATTGTAATGTTGTCTAAGTGTCTGAGAATGTGATGTATGAGATGGAAGAGTTTTAAGCAGCTATCAGACTTTGCAATCCTGTGTAAAGCTACCCTACTGTCAGAATGAGTGTGATAGTGTAAGTAGTGTCTTTTGTCCTTCCTATACCTAATGTGAATTAAGCTCATATAAATAGCTAAAGTTTATGCCTTAATTAGCTAGAGTTTCTGCCTGTGGTATTGAGCAGTGTGTACCTAGATAGAAGCAAGCATTGTGGAGCTTGTGGCCTAAGTTGGAGTAAACTACAAAAGTGGCACCCACATTGTCACCCATCTTGGGTAACTGTCAGTGTAAATCCTAAACATGGGATGATCACCTGGATCTTTGAAGTAAACGTCCGGCAAGCTGGTGGGAGGGGTGGTAATCGTAAGTCAGGAGGGTATTTTTGTTGATGCTGAATTTTTTGATATCATCGATCAAGGTCAAACTAGGGGGAATCTTACCTACTCTAATCATTTTGTTGACATCCGAGTCGCTATAATCTCGCCAGGATAAGGTGACAAGATTTTCCTGCCAAATAATGCATTTAATTTCTAAGTCGATAGGGGTCAATCCTGACATTACCAAAAGGGCACTAGTGGGTTTCTGCCTGGCAAAGCCAATACAGGAACTGAGCTAGCTAAGCCTAAAAAATGAAAATGAAAAATCTAGTCTATTGAGAATGAAAAACTGACTCAAAATCTAAGCAGTAACACAAATACTAACTAAAATGGCAAAACACTGTAGGAAAAAACACTCAATAGAGCCCAAGAAATGCAAAAGTAGTAGTATAGGAAATCACCTTTGAAAATAACAGAGACATTAAAAAAACAACTGTTTTGTAGAACAAATGATCAGCAGTATAAGAATTGTGAATTGTAAACTATCCTTTGCCAAAGTACACAGTTTTATTTAGCCTTTTTCAATTTTTTTTTGCATAATCATATTTCTTCCATGTTATCTTAGTATCATCATCATTGGAAAATCTTGTCCTTTCAAAATCGTTTTAATTTGAAAATAAAAACTTGTATAGGTTAGATTTATCAAATATAATGAATATGGCAAGGGAGTTGATTAAATTTCTGCAAAAAAATTCAATATATTTAAAAAAAATAAAATTTAGACTTCTGAAACCTGCCCAAAAATGATCATGCCATTAAAAATTTTGCATGATCATAATGCTATGTTGATAATTTCTTGGTATATCCTGGTTGACAGTTAGTTAGATAAATTCAAACTCGTTAAAATTGTCTTATCTTTAGAGAATACAGTCGACCCCCCTATAATTACGATTCCTATAAAACTACGAAAAAATTGTGACCGGTATCCGTAAAAAAACAGTAAAAATTCCCTATAATTACCTCAAACGTCATCGGGCAGCCAAACTACTTTCCCGCCATCCGTAGTGCCACGCTACGGAGATATTTCTATCGTCTGGACAGTATTATATAAATTATATATAAATTAGGTACTGTATATATAATTATATATTAATTATATATAAATTAGGTACTGTATATATAATTATATATTAACTTATTGTAACTTTGTTATAATTAAATATATAATTTCCGCCGTCTAGCGTGGCGCCACGCTACGGAGATTTTTACGCTAACTATCGTCTGTCAGTATGTAAATTAGGTACCGTAAGTCTAATACAGTACTGTAATTTTATACATTTCTTGTGAAAGAAACATTTCTTATTCAACGGCGATTAAAATTATTTATATTAATGATGTCTCCGAAGTTCTACGAAGTTTTCACAGAAAAATAAGTTGTTAGAAATCGGCCGCTCTTTGCTGAGCTGTTCCGCGACGAAAACAATGTTGAGCAATGGCAATGTCGAATGGTGACACTCGGTAAGTAATCCTACAATTTTTTGTTTATAGCGTAGTTTATACGGATTATTCCCAAAAAATATATACGTATTTTGGAAATGTTGAGTCGGATTAGTCTAGAATCGATTAATTTTATGGAAGAAAATCTTTCAAACAGCCGTAGTCCGTAAACTTGACACGTGTCGGGTTGTGATTGGAAGGATTTGTAAGAAATCGGATTCCTAAAGAATGGAACGTATCTCTATCTTATAGGGGGGTCGACTGTATAAACTTTGGATGTTTTATTGGAGACATCATATTGCTTCTTGTATTCCTAGAGAATGGCAGTCTTTAAAGGTTTCAAGTTACATATAAAGCAAGATATTCAAAGTTGCATTTCATCCATTGCATATTTTTTTAAACTCTTAATTTTGTAATAAATAATTTTTCTACACGAAATACAACATACATCAGATTTAACAGATATAAATGGTAATGAACATTGATAAACCTATTTTAAAAATTTTCCTTTTCAAATCAAAAATCAAAAAATAGAAAAATCCTTTAGATAGAGATTGTTTCCTTCTATATGTAATCTTTGTTCTCTACTAATGAATGCTGACACATGTAGCCTCTTGTAAACAACTTAATAATACCAAGGTGGCTTATATGTGTGTGCCAGTGATAGAGTTGCACACTATGGTTATAGTGAATAAATGCACAGATGACAAAGTTTATCGCAAAATTATCGATAGAAAGAGAAAATTACACCATCACAGATGACGAGAGCCCGACTAATATTTTAATTTCTTCTCAATGACGATGCATATTTGTTTAATGTCATTTGAAGATTCTCAAGTTTTGTACTTAAGGTTTTCCCTTCTTAACTCATTGGTACATTGGTCGTCTTGCATTTGGCCTGAATGGCAGACCTCATGTTAAGTTTCCAAGTCTGCTTTTTTTGTGAAGGGTCTCATGCCGATTCATGGATGATGAACAAGAAAAAGAACAAGAAAAAACTTTTAGTAAACAGTGATTAAAGTATTGTTTTTATATGTGTTTTTATATGTGTTTATATGTATTGTAGAGAGCAGTGATTCCCAAACTTTTTTGATTCTCTGTGCCTTTGCTAAATCCAGATTTTCCCAAAGCACCCATGTCAAATTTTAACAAGTACAGTTTGTGGAATAGCAAAATAGCCAATATTTTTTAAAATTAAAGAGTTAGGACATTAAGTAAAAAATAAATAAAGCATGTATTTAAGATAATTGAATTTGTTGAATTACATTTTTTTGTTAATTATAATTGGTGGGATGGATGAGCCTGTTCATCACCACACATTTTCTCAAATCTTGGAATCAAACTGGACACAGCCACCTTCATTAACTTTTCCACATTGATTTTTGTGCAATCCTTAGTTTTTATTACAGCGTCAAACTCAGCTTCATACAGATAAGAAGTTGCAAATGGAATTAAGATTCTCTGAGCTTTACCACTCAAAAGGAATATTCATTTTTTACTGATATCCAAAATTCGGTTAATTCCATGCTGCTAAATTTTGTTTTCAATGTATTGTCGCAAGACAATGCAATAAGATTTTCTTCTGCTGCAGTAAATTCAGATGGAGCACTGGCATTAAATGGATCTTGAATCCATGTAAATTTATTGATATTATCATTTTGAAAATATTTCACAAACCAGGTGATAAGATGTGATAAATTCACATCTTGTCACCCGGTTCTTCAAAAATAGATTTTATATTTCGAGAGAAATCAACTCCATTGGAGGTCAAAAACTGTTGCACAAGAGGAAACATTCTTTTCCTCTGTCTTCATTTATTTTTCTTTTATTTTTCATAGTTTTAATTTCAACTTTTATAAACAAAAAAATTTTCTCAATTGACTTTAAAAGGTGCATGTTGCTCCCCTGCAGGGAGAGATTCAGAGCATTCAGCTTTTCAAAAATATCACATAAATATGCTAGTTTTACCAAAAGATCTTCATTCACAGAATTTTCGGCATGCTCGTGGTCTTCCTCTTTAAGAAAAATATAAATTTCCTGTCTCAGTTCAAATGTACGAGACAAAACATTACCACGAGAGCAATGCCTGTCTCATAATGTTTTGTACTTTCTCAAAGTGTGCTCGGATCCCATATCCTCACATAGGTTTTTTTTGAAAAATCTTGCCCTCAATGGCTTAGTTTTTATAAAGTTTACTATATTTACTACATATTCTAAGCTGGTTCAATGTAGGACTCAGATAATTTGATGCGAGTGCTTCCTTGTGAATAACGCAATGGGTCCACAGTGCATCAGGGTCTTTGCTTAGAAAAAGTGTTTCCTCCATAACACCCAGACATAGAACGAACACCATAAGTACAGATACCAATGCATTTGCTCCACTCTAAATTATTTTTGGATATAAAAATATCAAGGAACTCAAACAAGTCATGAGCCTTAGCACCAGCAGTGATACTTTTACAAAAGAATTTAAAAAGAGATACTTTTACTGCAATGTTGTTATTATCTAGAAACTGTACATAGCAAATCAAGTGAGTATATTATTATATATGTCCTCATCCAGCTGCAACCCAAATTCCTTCTCTTTTATTTTTTCAATTAACTGAACATTGCAGGTCCTTTGCTATGTGCTGTATTCTGCAACTGATGGTGTTATTGGACAAAGGCACTTTTGAAAGCTGCTTCCCAGTAGACTCACTGATCATAATGTTTACAGTATCTACAGCAGCCAGTAGAATGTGTTTTTGTGCGATGAGATGAGATGAGGCTTTTTACATTTTGCGATTCTATGTGCCACCTTTATTACTGATTTAATAATTTGCATCAAGTCTGCTAGATGTTGCATCTTATAAAATTTTCATAATTTTACTTCCACTTTCAATTCAATGTTATATTTCATGGCGTCCTTGTGAGGAAGTCACAGCTCCCTAGGGTGCCGTGGTGCACACTTTGGGAACCGCTGGTAGAGAGAGCATCACATTCTTATAGTTGCTTAGTTATTGGCAGATAGATGGGTTGTTGGTTGTTCTCTGTCTGGACACTCCTTTTCTCGAGGTAAAGATCTGCAAACTCTTCTTATTGTGTGGGACGATAAGTTTGGGGAATTTTACCAAAATGGTTCTCCAAACTCTCCATAGGACTTTCAAATACCAAACGTTTGACTTTAGTTGTCCAATCACTTGAATGGACTGAAGTCAAAAGTCAAATGCATTCATGTTTGTCTGATCACTCAAATTTCAGGTTACACAGGCGACAGTTTGTCTTCTCACAGGAATGTATCCAAGCGGGTATTGAGATCGAGTCAATGGAAAACCAACTCTATTTATGTCTATGCAACCCTTTTCTTATGGAACAATCAGGATCTTGTATTTATAATGAAATTTCATTGATATCAATTGTATATTTTTTACCTTTTGTAGATTAGTCAGTGATCAAAAGTAGAAAGCATTATCAATTTATCCTTGTGTTTTTCCCTTATATATATATGACAGTTTTTAAGTATCATCAAAATTTGTGATGTAACTAGATTTGAGTTAACAAATGCTTTTCATTCTGTTTATTTTTTGCACCTGCACGACATTCTTTGATTTCTGTGTCAGAGAACAAACTTTTAACGTAAACTCGATGAAATATTTCTCTAGGATATTATTTTGTTCAAACTCGATAACGATAAATTATTTGTTGCAGATTACTCCGGGACCTACAGACTGTCCTGCCCCGGTTCGCCCACGTGGTCGATGTAAGGGCCTATGCTGGAAGCAGGAGCTGGGATGCCGCAGTGGGTGCCACCCGCGTCCCTCTTCCTGATTCAAACATGGTGGAACCCGGAGGATCGTACTTTTTTATCACGAGGGAAGAATACGTTCTCTGTGGCCACGCTAAGTAAATTTGAAATAAATTATATTATATTTCGAATCGTTAATGTGTTTCCTACTGACAGGAATAATAATTAATATTTTCTTAAAATTAAAAATTATAAAATCCTTTTGTATCTTAAGTCTTTTATTGTTAACTTCTTGTTTCATTGAAGAAAGGTGGCGTAATTTGAGAAAAAAAAGACTAACACGGTAATAATTTTAGTGATACATATTCTACTTATCCCGAAATGTAATTTTTGTTGTTGCATTTCTTAACAATATAGTATAAATGATTGATGATTATAATAGAAAAGATTTAATATGCTGTAGATTTTATAAAACAGAAAATTAAGAATTCTTCGAGAAGGATGGATAGTTAAAAATGTGTATATCGAATTTTGCGAGGGCGATGGATTTAATTTCTTCAGTGTTTGAGAGACTGCAAAGGAGCTTTGTAACTAACTTTCTGAAAGACGAGAGCTTGGCCAATGCAAACCTTTAAGATGCATCACTTGATGAGATGCAATGAAATTATGAAAATGATATTCAATATATTTTTTTTTAAAATAAACTAGACACATTTGGCCAATCCATATGTCTGTTCTTTATAGTTGATCTAATAATTTGTATGCTTTGACCTCGACATTAATAACAAATATGCAAAATGTCTAATACAATTTTGATTTTATCTGAGGTTTAAGTATATTGTCAAAGAATACAACAATGCTTAGGATAAATTAAACTTGGTCGGAGCCACAGAATGAGTCAGACGATTTCGGGTGATGGGAGTCTCATTTTTGAGGCATGAAGAGAGAGAGAGAGAGACAGATGAGGGGGTTGAGGAACTGAAATTTATGGAGGACAAAATTCCACCATCCTCATGTCACTCGCAAGTGTGGATGATTTGCAATATCCTGGAAAATATCTTTTAATGCATGGTTTGAATTCTCTTGCCTTTTATATTTCATGTAATAAAACCCAACTGAGAAAGTGGAAGAATTGCAGATCTGAAAGAGATCGAAGGAAAGAAAATCCTTTGAATCATTGCATTTCTCTGCGGGCGCCCAAAATTGTCTTTGGCTCATTCTGTGGATCTTGACAAATCTGAAATCTTTAAAGATTTAAATTCAAACTATAAGATGGGCACATAAATTTCTCTTTTATTATTAAATTATAGTTATTGGTGTCTGAATGTAATGAAACTGATAAGAAAGACAGATGTTTTGAATTTTATATATGATGCATTGTTTGCTGGTGTTGATTGACAAGTACACACTTTTGACTCTCTTTCAGAGTGTGAGGAAAAAATAGATTAGTGGGGTGCAACACATGCTCTCCGGATTGTGGGCGTTTTGACAATAAAAATAAAAATGGTTCAAATGCTCACCGATGGAAGAAATTTGGTGCTGAGGTATCTGTTTCCAGTCCTTTATGATGGCTCACCAAAACCTTGATTGGCTCTAATGCATAGAATGAATATAGATCTGTTGATTAAACTTTGTGCACACTTGTTTCCCATTTGCAGCACTACTTTTCCTACCGGCGAATATTAGAACTATCGTTTTCATTATCAAAATAGTCATCTGCAAGATGCACGTGACAAATACAATTCTTTCTGCATAGCACCATTTTAATGCAATTTGTTCCTTATACTTGCTATATCCTTTACTATTTGGCATAGTGGCATCCCTCATTGGTCCCACAATAACTTGTTTTTAATCATTTAAAAATTGAAAACACTCACAAAGTTTCCATCATTGTCATTCGGTCAATTATTAATATGCTGGGTTCTTGCAACATCATTAAGTCATTTATAAATACAAATGGTATAGCAATTATATATTTGAACAAATAATATAAAACTACTTCGGCACGTGCAAATTGCTAAACAATCATCAATACAATATTTTTTATGCGTCTTCTAGTGTGCCTATGAAAGAATTTGGAAAATGTGGAGTAAGCCTCTATGTTAGTCCTCACTCAAAAGATTTCAAAGGATTGTCTGGTTAAGAACAAACTTAGGATACATGAGGTTACTGTGCATTAGTGTGTGAGGCTCCGGAAGTGGGTTGAAATTCGTGCACCGAAAATGTTTTAATTTCGTATGAAAAAAAAATTTTATAATTATAACTATTATTCTTATAATATTGTAAAAAGAAATCGTCGAACGCAAAATGAATATTTTATGTCCATATAAGGACATATCTAAAAATTTCTAAGTCGAACTACTCAGGTTAAAACAATGGATGAATTTGAGTACTTAGATCGAACGTCTTCGATAGGAATCAAATTGTCCCCGCGATCTGGGCTCCGATCCTGTTACAATTCGTAACGAGGAGGGGGACCAATTGGAGAATGGGGGAAAGTCGACATCGACCTATCGGAATGTTCGATCTGGGACCCAGAAAAAAACATAAAAACTGCGCAAAAATAGGATGTGACGTTCTTGGTTCTAAGTTCGGTGTGCTCCGCTTCTGGACTTTTCCTGCGGTTCAACAACGGGAACTTGGTCGTCGTTCCGAAAAAAAGTTTTCGCCATCCCGTCCCAGCAAATTTCGCCAAGGGTAATCTGCTACGAGAATCACCCCTTCAATTTGTGCTGTGCGCCCCGGAGCGTACGTTTTCCTCATCATCTTCGCCAAAAGGAGAGAATATCGTAGAAAAGATTGAACTTTATTTACGAACTGATTCACTCTGCGAATAGGCCTTATGCCGAAGTAAAACAGTAGTTGAAAGCGAAATTTTTATATTTAATAAATAGTTTGCGATGGAGGACCTGTCTCAGTAAGTTTTTTCACTCCCACACGACAGTGCTGACTGCTCGACTGTCGCGACACTTCCCCCCAATCGGCAAACCTCACAAGTGCATACATTTTGGTTAAGTCTGGTGTGATTGAAGAGAAGGATGGATTCTAGAGTATTTTGCTGGCTTTTTTGAACAAATGCAAGACAGATGAAAGGATTGTATTGTTAGGCGATATGAATGCACATACAGGTGTGTGTGTGATGGATGTTCATGGGCTTATGTTGGCAGTTATGGTTTTGATATTGAACAACAATGGCGAGTGCCCTTATCAAACTAGGTACTGCAACGGGATTGTTCGTATCTAATACATTCTTTCGATTTCGTGATTTGTGACGAAACATCAAAATGGACATGAGGGTGCAAAATGGGCACCAACCGTTACCCAGTCGGGCTGAAGAATGCAATTCCGGAACGGCCGGCAGTGCAAAAGACAAAATGGCAAAAGAAAATATTAGAATGCACGAAAGTGGAGGGCCCAAAGGAGCTAAAAGTATAGTGTAGAGAAACTGTGTGTGTTAAGCAGAGTATAGATGTTGGATGAAAACTTGAGAATCCATGGGATGCCACAAGAAATAGCATGTGAGAGAAGTGCGCAGTACCACGAAGACGGAAAAATGAGCAAGAGGCACCACATGGCAGAATGAAGAAGTTGTCAAAGCCTTAAGGAGAAAGAAGCTTACCCAAGATATTTGAATGGTGGGAGTAAGAATGAATGAGTACAGAGAGTGTAAATCCAAATGTAAGAAGATCGAAAAAGAGCAAAGAAATGGGAAGTGGTATTTAAGGATAACCGAAATGTTTTCTGGCCATATACAAGAAAGGCAAAAGGCAGTGACACTCACGTGAGAACACAAGGAATGTAAAAGATAATGGTGATCCACTTTGGAGCAAGAATGGTCCCGGATGTAATATTAGTATATAAGAGGTGAGAATGGCTGCGAGTGCAGACAGACTATGTGCCAGTGTAGGGCCGAGGGGGGAATAAAAAAACTCCATGAACGATAATAGGCGATATATATCGTCATCGTCTCCCTTGCCGTTTGGACTGCCGAGCGGTAACAATCAGCGACATTTGGAAGCAGTTGAGTCAGAGATAGATGCTTCGTTTACAAACAACACAACCGTTTATTAAACACGAAAGAAGCTTACAAGATTTCCGCGATCTTGGAAGTTCTACGGCGGTTGCGGCCTCTGGGTCTTCCTCTCCTTTCCAAGATAGTCCCATTTTGAAGGAGTGTCCCTTGTTCGCGAATGAACCATTCCATCACATCTCGACGACTCCGGGACGATGCGGTCGACTTCTGTTGATGGAAAGATGTCGATCCGAGGTCGGGAGATGGAGACGAAGATGGGTGCGAGACTCACACACAACAACAGATCCGTCACTTGGAATTTTCGGGAGAATAAGCCGTCGCGTCCTTGAATTTCCGGGGTTTTATCCGTTTTCTCTGATTTCCCTTTCCGATTGGTCTCTCCTCGTCACCTGGTGACAATTCGAAACCTTTCGGGGGCGCGGGAGAGGTCAAAATCGAAGTTTAATTCGATCTCTAACCGGAAGTGGTCGACGGACTTACATTCTTCTATTGTTTAAAAGTTAGCGTCGCGTTTTCATATAAAAAATCTATTTCTAACTACTATATTATTTTCTTTAAAACAATTATTTTAACGTGAATTTTAGTGAGGGTTCGGACCTGTCCAGAGCCTCACACCAGCGTTAAAATATGGTGGGAACGAGTCATCGACAAGTCCACAAACCTCTATTGCCCATGCTGAGAAGGGCAGGTGCCATTGTCATTGCACTGTATAAGGGGAAAGGTGCAGTGCAGAATACAAATTATTGAGGTATAAAGGGAGAATATTGGAAATGCTTGCCATAGATTTGTAAGAAAGAGCAAATCTCTGGATTGTGAACGTTATTGAGAAGTACAGTGGGTGATTGGTTAACAAACAATCTGTTTCAAGACTGTGTTATCTGAATTGTTCTTTAACTGATTATCGATTTACCATAGGTTTTTATGGGAATTTGATTAATTCGTTCCAGAGACTCCAAAAAATAAACATATAAATAAAAAATAAATACTTTTCTTACTATGTAATAGTAAAAATACATATACAGTAGAGCGTCGATTATCCGAAAGTCAATCATCCAAAAGAATTCCAGTCGGCAAATTTTTTAAATTTTCGCCAGTGCTGTGGTGCTGCAATCTTTGCCAATGTCTTGGGCTACTCAAGTATTTTACGTTTTTGATACTAAATTAACTTCTGAAGTATAATTTTTTATTGTTTTTATATTTTTCAATATATTTTGTTCGTACAAAATAAAATAATTTTTAACGATACAATAGTCTTTGTTAGGCTTAACATCGACGAAAATTCGAAGCGACACGCAACGGAGAAAAATGTCAAGATGGGATAAATTATATTTTTTCGTACATAATCGGTTATCCGAAACACCGATCTTCCGAACAACCCGAGTCCCCAATTGATTCGGATAATCGACACTCTACTGTATATGCAGTTCCATTTATGGGGGTTAAAGAATCTGTCCAATGTCAATTGCTTTTCTCTTTTCTTCAGGATTTTTCGGAAGTAATTAATAGTATTGTAATTTTGTAGAGATCTCATACCCCATAAACCTTATTCTGGTTTGGATGCCACTTGGATGATCGTTGTTCTGACATCCTCGCACTTCTTCAAAAGATCTTCAGTAGCAGATGTCGACACTGGTCCTCTTTTGTCTTCCTCCTTTTCAAAAGAAAACACATCTCGCTGAGTTTCTTAATATTTTTCATTTCAGAGTTCTTGGAGTTCTTCTGTTGTCAGATCAGTTTCAGGTTCCATCCTGAGCTCTAAAATGCTCTTTATTTCTCAGATGTGATTTTCATTACTCTATTAGCAGCTTGAGACTTCTTGATATATCTTTCATAGCTAAGACTGTAGACCTGTTCAAGCCTACTCCCTAGCAACATCAGACATCTTGGTGCCCACTTTTACCTTGGCTATTATCTCTTACTTGGTTTCTGTGGTGAGCACAGTTCTTGACACTCCTCTTTTTAGGCTCCATAATATTATCAGTTTATTATGTAAATAAATAGTTCAGAAAAGCACTTACAAAAATTCAGAGAACAGAAATCAACTAGCTCACAAAAAAATTATTTAAATGCAATGCCCGGATGAAGTTCGAAATTTGGTTATTAAATTTGGTTGGAAAATTAAAACCTTAACGAACATCCGATGGGACAGTTAAACTTTCACCTTTCGTAAATAAATCCGGACACAAAACTTAACAAGTGTCCGTCCAATAGTCTCGCAAAGACCATAAAAAATTATTTTTCAGAAAGGTAAACAAAAAGCTGGAATTACAAGGGAGGGTTTCAAAATTCGGAGGAATACTATCTGATTGGTATCGTGTTGAGCGTCAATGCTGACGTCTCCCACGCTCTGAAAGGTTTCGAATTGTTACCCGACGACAAGGGAAAATCAGTCGGTATTCGTTATTTTCTGTCGCTTCTTTTTATGTTTGTTCAGTAAATTGTTTGTTGTCCGGTCATAAAAATCTTTCGCGCAAGTATTTGCTATCTGATTTGTTCGCTATCCAAACTGTTCTTTGACCGATCACCCACTGTACTTGGGTGTGAACGAGAGTTTTTGCAACATTTGAGGATTTGCAGAGTGTACAACCAACTGACGAAAGAATACTCGCAGGACGTTCTCCATTAGTACAGGGAGAGTGGAAGCCGCTCGAGGCAATAAAGGCACAGTGCATATTAGAGGGGTCCTGAATTGTCGGCAATTCGGGCACGTGTCTGGGCTTTGCAATGTCTTTCTGGTTACTTGTCATATACTTGCACAAACGCGTAAAACAATAGAGGGAAAACAAACAGGTGCAAAAGTGAATAAAAAACATGCCATGCAACAGTAACTAATTGATATGATAAACATTTGAACAATACATGAGACTCAAAAAACACACCAATATTTGTTAAGCCGTACAAATTAGACTGCTCTCCAACTTGTATCATTCATGATACAAACACAATTTGCTAAGTAATTATCGCTAAAATGGCCAAATGTTCACAAATCCCTCAATATATATTCAAGTATATTTATACACCCACCTGTTTTTTTTAATCACCTCGAATCCAATCAGAAATACCAAAATAAGGAAATTGAACCGAGGCACAATGCACCATATGTCACCCCAACACCCTTCGCCTTAACGTGTAAATGTTGCGTAACAGCCTGTGTGCACTGGGACTTAAGCACTTAAGCAAAAAATAACTTAAATTAGCAATTAGTGAATTACCTTTTGCACATGTATACAATATGAGGTGCATTGAAGAATCAACATATACAAATTAGTATGGGGCCCATGCATTAAGACTGCCTCATATTCGATAAACTGATGTCAAAAGTGTCATTGTGACAGATAATGGAGATGCCAGCCAGAAAGTTTTCAGAATTTGTTGAAACCGAAGCCATCTTATAATATCTTGTGCAGAACTGGCAAAAAAAAAAAATTAAATAAAATGGTAATAATTTGAGAATAAAAACTGATTGGGAGAGAGATGACGGATTAAATATTGTAATGTGTCGTCAGCATAATTTTTTGAAGAACTGCGGAAATGCAGAATCTGCTCCATCATGGACAACAATATAGCATGATAAATCAAGAGTTTATTCGGAGAAAGCAAAATCTTCTCGTTTTGGTTCTCAATACAAAATTCATTTTGGACGACGTATGTCGGCATAAATATATAATATATATCTTTTATTTTATTCATTTATATGATGCATATCCGTACACACGGTTCTTATGTATACAAATATATGGGAAAAATTCGAAAATAATCAAAAATAGATGTTATATCTCTTTACATAAATATACAGAAGTTCGGAAAGAACGATTCAAACGAAAAATTCTTTCAATCCATCTATAAATACAAATAAATAATACTTAAACTATTAAAATATAACAACAGACCAATTCTATCGAGTAAAGCTGTGGTTATTTGGATTAATTCTTAAAATTTGGCTTATTATTTTTAAACAAAAAAATAAATAAATATATTTATAATAAATAGCAGCTCTTCAAATGTCTAATATAGGATGCGAGAGTCGAGAGAGGAATGTGGCTTGGCTAGATGTGTTATCCTTGAAGTAAGTGAAGATAAATTGCTTTTTCTGTGATGAACGAGGTGGAGTAAAGTAGAACCCCGTGGCACCGGGATAAATAATGTGCGCGAGGACGTCTCTGCATGCTTAAATTCGCCAAACATTCCAAAGTAACAATGGAAAACAGAGCACTGCGGTATTAAAGAATAGAATTATGGCACTCGATGCTTTAATGTCTCTGGCATCACTTAAATAGGAATCTTCGTCGGTTTGTGCCGATCGAAAATTTACAAAACAAATCCCCTCCGCAGTGTTTCAAAATGGAAATTCTGTCAAAGACTCTCAGATTACAAAAGACTTTGAATACAAATTCTTTAAAGTGACAAAATTTTGAGCAATGAAGTTTTGATGTTCTGTTTTATTTTACAAAGTAAAAACAAAAAGTGTAATTTTTTTGCTGTTATCACAATTGCGTCATTTAGTGGTGATGCTTTCTGGAAAATTAATTTTGAAAATGAAAAAAGCTGTCAAAGCATACACAGCAAGATGAACTAATGATGCGGGCTCACTTATTAATGATAATTCTACTGAAAACTGCTGTCGCATACAAGAAACAAATTTGTAAACAATTAATAAGGTGACTTGGTCCCTTTGCCAAAATAATTTACTTAGTATTGCGACAAATTATTGAGGTGCAAATCACAGAGACACAGAGGAACAATAAGAAAAGTGTTTCGCGGGCGGCCAATAATTAATTTAAGGAACGGATTGTCTCGTAATGCAAATCGTCATGAAGAATAAATGTGGCTACAAACGATAAACTGATTGTAATGCAACTACATTTGTAAATTTGAGTCATGCTATGCTATGCTACGCTACTAAGATGTGGAATTGCAAATTCTAGAACTTGATCATTGCGTTACTTGCAGTGACTAGAAAGTTTCTAGTAGCGTAACAATTGTTGCAGGAAAAGCAAATTAACAGGTATGTAATTTATATTCAATGTCAAAATTACAGCTTTGTATTCCTGTTATTGTTTATCTTTATTCTGTTACAGTGGTGGATACATTCTTGGGTGACATGAAATTATTTATGAAGTAAAACAAGAATTGGAGGCACGATAGACTAGCATTTCGGTCAAACTGTAGGTGTCCTCACTACTACCGAAGCACGGTGGATGAAAGTATCTGCAATTATGTTTACAAGATGGACAAAAATTGCATACGAATGGGTGCCATGATTACAGATTTAACACCAATAATTATTTTTAATTCAAAAATGGTCTTGTAAAGAACTAAACAGAGATTTGATGACCATACGTAACAAGAATACCAATAAGTAAAATGTGATTTTGGTGCAACGTTTGTGAATGTAGATGTGAATGGATATCAACGCTACTTTGTTTATCTGCACAGGAGGATCGGTACATGTTAAACGACAGAATACAAAAGGGAATTAACTATATCTGAACATACAAATATTCATGTTCTCTCCAAAATTGGTCATAAATGTATGCCGATTTTTGGAGGAAAAGGAAATTCTCTATTTCTGTTTGAAAAATTCAAACGAATGATCGTCCACAAATGATTATTCTTTTGAATTCCTTACGTATATCGCCAAATAATTTGTTCATCTTGCCGTGTATAACTGCATAATCATTAATTTGAAACCAATCGCTTCAGATCTTTAAATTAAGATTTAAGACAAACAAATTAAATCTTACACTTACTCAGTTCTTTCTAGCAATGGACAGACCTACTTGGAATTCTCCTAAACAAACCAAACACATGGAATTCTAATTACGTGGACGTTAGCATTCTCTCTGTCTTTGAAATCATAAAATAATTAGAGTTAAATCTCAAAAAATAACTGTCAAATTCGAGTAGCAAACTCCATCATTTCCATTTTGTATATTAAAATTTGTCGGTAATTTTGGACTTGACATGCCCAAAATTTCGACGAGAATTTCTCTGCATGATCTGTAAAAGACGAAAGAAATATTAAAAGACAAAATATGTTCCAAAAAAGAAAAAATGCAGAAGATAAATTATACTCAGAGATTCATAGAAATTTCTAAATATATAGTATAGATGATGTTTCGGGAAATACAAAATGTACAATTTTTGTATCATTAATAATAAAACTGCCGATAAAAAAGTTAACGGCAACGATCGTCAAAGAATTTCTCGTGGAACAAGCATGGAAACTATAAGAATGCTTGCATAAATCACCATCCAGAACACAGTTAAGATAGATGAAAAACTAAATTAAATGGCAGAAATGTCGATGAACTTGTCAAATGCAAACATAAAAAGAAGACGACATTCTATGACCAAAATAAAATACAACAAAATTAACCAAATTCTCACCTCACAAAATCCAATGGAAAAATAAAGAAACCTAATACAAAAATCTTTCCATCAATTCCTGAACTTGTCTCATACCAAAGAATTCAAAACTTTTTCAAATTTCTCATAATTAAATGGGTGAAACACTACAAATATAAAGGAGAAACAAGTCGTTATTAAATAAATTAAAATAAATATTTTATAAAATCTAACTAATTTATCTGTCAATGTCAAAGCCTAGCTAATATATATATTTATATATATTACAATTTGTTCACGGTTCTTAATATTAGTTAATTTATTCCCTATTGTAATTATAAAATTTTAGCAACAGCCTCCTCCTTCAGGTTCTGCCTCCATCAGGTGAACATTGCTTCTCGGACGCGCAAATCCAGTCTTAATTCCATCCCAGCCGTCCTCCACTTTAAATTCTCCAGTTTCTATTTTGCTATAAATTTCTTGGGCGATCATGGCAAAGGCCTCCTCCACATTGTAACCTGTCTTGGCCGACGTCTCAATGAACTTCACCCCATAGAAGTCGGCGAATGCCTTTCCCTCATCTGTTGGTATCTCTCTTAGGTGCTCCATGTCCACTTTGCATCCCACTACCTGCCAAAAAAATGACAAAATTAGATTTGGTTTATATGTATCTGTCAAAGATAGGGCTTTCTGTGAGAAACTGGCCTCTATTTAGGCATTACAATTGCGAAACAAACCCAGAAAACTTAGCATGGCTGGCCCATTGAGAACTCGCCGCCAACTACTGGCATTCGATGGTTTTATCCACTCGACTGCTGGTGGGCACTCGACAAAATTAGAAAAGTTTGAAATTCTGTTGTGCATAAATTGAGAGAAAATAGATGCCGACATTTTGTAGAATGATACTAATGTTATGTGGACATTCTGAAGAATTTTTAGAGTGTGCCGTAGTAACATTGATTCTTCGTGGCTTCTTTTTCAATTGAAGTTTCTACTTTAATTACCTAGAAGCTTACAAAATACTAGCTTTTGAGTCTACATTTTGTTATATGTGCACTCCCAGAATTAGTTTTCCCACAATTTCTGTTGTATTTTTCTAGTAATCCCTCGACAGTTCTAATCTTATAAACAATACACTACTTCTATGATCATTTACCTATCGTTTTACAAACAAGGGTTTATAAAATCAATAAGTAAATAGTCATAGAAGTAGCATCTCATTTAGATTAGGTTAGGAATGTATGAAGTTAATTAATTTCCCTGTCAGTAAGTATTTTAAAGTAAATCCAATGAATAGATACAATATTTAAACCTAAAGTTCTTTATGGTTGGCATATATTGTCGCAGAGATGCAATTACTGTAATTAAGTCTTGGAAGTTGGCTTTTTATTATGGATAGGTTTGTTAAACTAAGAGTATGAAGCTCAGAATAATGCAAAAGAAAAAGAAGCAGTTTTCAAGAAAAATGTTATGCTATCAAGAACACCACCAGGTAAACGTTTGCGATTCTGTTCCACTGGAGGTGCTGTTAAATCCAGAGACATTTGGAAGAATTTAGGTCAGGAATTATTTTTAGAAGAGATGAAAGGTATGTTGAGCAAAATGAAGGAAGCTATAGAGACAGAATTGCAATTAGTGAAAGTTTCTTTCTTGGAAGTGAATGAAAAGATTATTAATTCTCTCTGCCAATGTATTCAACTAGAGTCTGATCACAAATGTGAAATTGAGTGTAACAATATGCAGGTTATTAGTGGTTTAATTAAAAGAGTTAATTAATACACTTGAAAATAATTTAAGGAAGAGATATTTATTATTTAATGTGGAGACAAATGAACAAGAAAATTTGTTAGATACAGTGTAAGCTAATAAGGGACGTGTCTGGTTTATCGAATGTCATTCTTGATTGTGTTTAACTTATAAAAACATAAAAACCATTGTATTATTTCTGCTATTACTTGCATTTCTTTTGAAGTGAAAAGAGAAATATTGAAAAGTTGGAAGAGCAATTGTAATAAACTTGATGTCTTGGATTGGAGACAGGCAGTGCACATAAGGGAGGATCTCTCTGCGGAATGTAGGGAGAAGAGAAATAATTTAAGACAGACAAGAAAATAGGGGAAAATTGCATACTTCAAAGGTGATAAACTGGTGATAAGTGAAAACTATCATAAGGCTGGCAAGGATAAAGCTGAGGATGGTTGTGTTAATAGGAATTCTTTTTTAGGGACAAGCATGATAAACTAAGAGTTATTAGTTAGAACATAAACAGATGGAAGCAGGAATATGAAATGGAGTATTGAAATATTGTGAGAAAGTTCCATACGTTATGTTGGATGGAAACGTGGTTAGGTGAACTGGATTCAAGGAAGCCACCGACAGATGTAAGTAGTGCATATGATTTTTACAAGATTAGCACTATTAGTATATATTTGAGAAGGGCAAAAAAGAGATGGGATGCTGTTGATGATAGATAGAGAACTAAAAGATGTGTTGATTCGTCCCTTTGAGGATTGGTCATTCGAAGTACTGTACATTGGAAAAACAAAAAGTTTATTTTTGTATCTATATTAAAATAGAAGCTTATGTTAAATGTTATAAGTTACTTGAGTCATTGTTTGATTCTTTTCAAAATGAGGAGATAAATCACCCAATAAATATAATAGTAGAATTGGAACCCCCAAATGAAATGGATTGTGGAGATGGTATCTTCCCCTTGTTGGATTATAGGTGTTTACCAGAATTTGGAAGACAAATGTATTAATAAGATTGGATTGAAGTTAGTGAAATTATGTCAAACCAAAGGCTTGATGATTATAAATGGCAGAGTTAAGAAAAATGCACAAGAAAAGTACACTTTCATCTCGCACTTGGACAAAAGTGTAATTAGTGATTACTCATGTATAAATGCTTTGGCATCTGATAATTTAAAGTATTTTAGTCTAGATTGGGGATGGGCAACCTTTATCTATGTAAGGGCCGCATTTCAAAACTTTTGAACTAACGCGGACTGCATGTAAGAGAAAATAGGGGGAAAATGTCGGTAAATCACAATTATTTATTTATATATAATTATAAATTAGCATAGGTATACTTAATTTAGCTTCTGGAACTGATGTAAATGTAATATATTGGAAATATTGGTTAAATATTAGTCACTACCAGTTTTAAATTAGTTTTGATGTGTCTGTTAGCCGGTTTTTTGTTTTAATTTTTACTAAATTCATTGTGGAAAAATTACAATGAATTTAGCTTCTGGAACTGATGTAAATGTAATATATTGGAAATATTGGTTAAATATTAGTCACTACCAGTTTTAAATTAGTTTTGATGTGTCTGTTACCCGGTTTTTTGTTTTAATTTTTACTAAATTCATTGTGGAAAAACTACTTGCATACATAAGCTGTAGAAAATAATATTTGAATTTTTGCTGCATTCTTCCTTAAGCTGGAAAATTGATATATTTATTCATATTTTACATCTGGGTTGTCCATCTCTGGTCTAGATGATTGCACTGAATCTAGTCATATGATGCTGCATTTAGAAATTTCTATTAAAGGTCTGAAAAAGGGTTATTTTGGGTAATCAGTCCAGTTTGATATAAGATGGAATGGAAGTTGTTTGTAAGTGAAATATAACGTATTTGTTGAGACAATCAATTTGATGATAAGATAAGTGACTTAAACATACTTACTGATGTGGTGTCAGGTATAGTGAAGAAATTTAGATTCAGAGAAATAAGAATCAAATGTCTCTCCAGGCATAACCCAGAATGGTTTGATGAGGAGTATATGGAACAATAGAGTACTTTGAAAAATAAGCTGAAGAGATGGAGGAGCCTTGGAGAGGAATGAGATTAAAAGAATATTTGTTATTGAAGCAAAATTTTAGAGTACTTTGTAAAAGTAAAAAACAGGAATATTTGACTAGTTTTAATCAACTGCTTTCAAACTGCAAGTCAAGCCAAATGTTCTGAGAGTGTATTAGTAAACTGGAAGGTAGAAATAGATACTGTATTGCAGAGGAGATTAAAACAGATTTGTTTATGCATTTTAAAAGCTTATTGTTTAGTGGTAATCTAGACAAAGAAATTGTTTGTCTGGAGATGGTAAGATGGTATCTGTAAGATATTTAGATATTCTGATAAAATATTGGAAGTTGGCAGATGAGCAACTGCGGCAGAAATTGCTGAACATTTTAAATAGTTTTGGTAACTGGAATTTATCTGGATAGTTGGAAAATAGCACAAATATTCCCTATTTTTACATCAGATGTACACAATAAAAGTAATTATAGAGGAATAGCATTGTTAAACACTGTCAGTAAGATCTCTATGATTCTCTGTGAAAGGCTGTTATTTTGGGCAGAGTGTGAGCAATCTTGTAAGATGCAAGCAGGTTTCTGTAAAGGGTAATCTACAGAGGACCATATATTTGTTCTGTGGAACATGTTAAAAGAAAGGTTGGCAAAAAACGAAGGAAAATATATATTTGCCTTGTGGATTATAGAGTTGCATTTAATTCAGTGAATCATTTGAGGTTAAGTTATAAGATAGTAAATCTATTAAAAGATTGATATACACAAATACATCAGCATTTATATTTGTTAATGGAACTTCTTAGGAATCCTTCTACTGTAACAAAGAAGTTCAGCAAGAGTGTCATTGAGTCCATTACTATTTTCTTTATTTCTTTACTAGCAGACCCCGCCACGCCTTGTTGTGGCTCAAAATGTATCTATCATAAATGTATAACACTTCCCCCGTGGGGGAATATCGAAAAATCCCTTCTTAGTGTACATTCCTGTTGACGTACCCTATTAAAACGCAATCAAAAACGCAAAAACCCGCATCTAAAATAGTATAATAGAAGCCAAGTTCTTCACAGTAAGCCTTAATCCTGTACCTCTCCCCTGCGGGGGGGATATCGAAAAATCCCTTCTTAGTGTACATTCTGTTGACGTACTCTATTAAAATGCAATCAAAAATGCAAAAAACCGCATCTAAAATAGTATAAATAGAAGCAGATTTCTTTACGGTAAGCCTTACGGGGAAGGCTTGCCGTAAAGAACTGTCCATCTCCCATGTTTAACGGAATAATATACAGGCTATGTCCACCCTGAAGTTCCATTCTAAATATTGGTAAAAAAATTTTTGAAATCGGATGAGTAGTTTCGGAGATTACCTGCTGCATATAAACTTACATACATACTTACAAACATTACCTCTTTATAATATTAGTATAGATATATTGATAGTCTGGTAACAAGGTTGAATGAAATTCAAAATTTAATGGCTTATGGATAGGAAATAATACATACATTAAGGTCTTGTTGTATTACAATTGGTAATTGACAATTTGTTGAGATTCTCAATTAGTATGGACTTGCAAATTAATGTTAAAAAAACTAAGATAGTGGTCTTTCAAAATGGAAACAGAAGTTCATGTAAATTTAAATGGTTTTTGGATAAAGAAGAAATTGAAATAGTTGAAAAATATAAATATATGGGTATTTGGTTTAAATATAATCTTAATATGAAAGACTAATTTGAGATTACTGCGAGGAAGGCCAAAAGTGCTCTGGTGAAGTCATGTATAATATTTAATATCTCAGGGTTGACCTCGTGTTCCCCA